AAGCTACAGCAACTCTCGGAATTCCATTCCGACCCTCGGATCAAAATCTCACCTATCAACCGGAATTCGCCAAAATACTAACTTCGCCAATTCAAGCCTAATTCTACACCGGACCTCCAAAATCAATTCCGATCGCACTCCCAAGTCACAAATCATCCCCCGAAGCTAACCGAATCACTGGAAATCACATCCGAGCCTTCTACCTCAATAGTCAACATTCGATTGACTTTTCCAACTTAAGCTTTCCTTAAAGAGACTAAGTGTCCCATTTCTTATCAAAACCAATCCAAATCAACTCTAACACACCACATACCGATAACAAAACATGAAGAATCATGAAATGGGGAAAACGGAGCAATAACACATGAGACGACGGGTCGGGTCGTCACAGTAGCTGAGCAAGGTGACCGCCAGCGTTCGCGGCACCGGACTTCGTCTTTTGAATCCAGATTTTATTTTGTATATTATTGACCCTGTAGTCGTGTTGAGACTTCTTTAGATGCTCGTGACTTGTGACACCCCGGTCGGGTTGTGTTGGGTCGTAAATACTGGTTATTATTGTCGATAAGATGTATTTATCTATTCATTTATGTTTAATAATTGTTAAAGAGACGATTTGGGTTAGTTGGCTGGCCTTGTCTTCACGAGAGGCGCCATCACGACCGGGTTGGAAATTGGGTCGTGACATATGGTTGCACTGATGGACAGAGAAAAAGAGATCTGCAACACAGAATCAACAGAACTAATGAACGTGCAAGGTTTTGAGGAAGTGGCTAGATCAATATGTCCTGAAAGAGGATCTACTCCCTTTTCTTCTCCTATTTCTGTTACAAACAAACTGCAAGATGTAGTAGTACATGAGGAACCCACACCACTGATGTTAATTCACTGAGTTAACTTGGCCAAATACTGTTATGACAGATTTTGCTGCAAACGTCGGAACAGAACAGCAAGAGGAAAATAGGAAGCATCTTCGGACAACAAAATTTACTAACTAGTCCCAACTTAAGTAATTGCAATTGATATATAGTTATCGTTAATGTCAGATTATCAAGTGTACAGAAATTAAACTCAGACAACAAAATGACGTGCGCGTGTATATCATCAAGGGGATGCACAGTTGTTATAGTAATAGCACTCGACTTTCTATTATCTCACTGCCTATCAGTCCTTAATTTTACCTTTTCTACAGCTGTTGCTTTTTATTCTTCTTCTTTCTGTGTTTCCTTAAGGGCCAATCACTACAATATGGACAAAGGAAAATTAGCTTTAGTTAAAATGGTGGTGTTCCTTTTGATTTTGTATCAACAGTATGTACTGTGAACGCCACCAATTACAAGGGAGAAGAAGAAGCTGTCAGACTAATATCTTTGTCAGGTCAACCGAAGGCAGAAAAGCTTTCAGTTAGCTTTTCTGATATAAAGGGACGTAAGTGCTCAAAATATCTTGGATTTACATAAAAAGGAGATTGAAGCATCTATATGATGCAATCATATCACGCATAAATTCACTACCTAGCTAATATATGATGCTTTTAACCCGACGCTAACATGCTTTTATAGTCTTCAAAACCTGATGCTTTTATATTTCAGTTAGCTTACAGGTGAAAAGTATCTTTAGTACACCAAATGATAAATAGTGTTCCAATACATACAGTGAAGCTTATAAGACCTCCGAAATAATAATTAGTCCCATTGCCCACTGAAACAGAGGAAAAAGTTAACAGCAATCTTTTGTGTTTAATAGTTGCTCATACTTCAATCTAAAAATAGTGGTCAGGTGCGGTAGTCCATTTTCCTACTGTATAAAACCAATTCAAGATAAGTACTGTTTCAGAAGCATGGAGAGTGAATGGAAATATTTCACCTTTAGTTCAGAAATATTCTGGATGGTGTTTCAAACAGTAACCTTTAGTTCAGAAATATTCTGGATGGTGTTTCAAACAGTAAAAAACTCAAACAGTAGTGCACTGAAGGATAAAGATGAGTAGTACCGTGATAAAGTGAAGTATTTTCAGCAACACCGCATATCCTTGATGTTTGTGGTGCTCGTTCATGGCCGTTGTTGGCGTCAGGGGCCTGATAAATATTCACACATTAGATAACAATACTTTTGTAGGATTAAAATGTCATTAAGAATGTCTAAAACTTATGAAATCGAGTTACCTGTTCACTTGAGGTGCCATCGATATTTTGAGGTATAGGTTCATTAGAAGTATATTTGCGCATGAGTTGTCTCATTTTGAGTAATTATGATTGCATCTTCTCTTGATTTTGTTTCATCAGGTTCATTTCTTCATTGTGTTTATCCTTTAACTCGGTTATCTCTTGTTCTAACCTTTGTACAGCCTCATCAGACGAATCCTCCCCAACAATATTTCCTAAGGAAGATTTACTACCCCATAGAACAGAAGGAGTTGGACCAAGTCCTAAGCCACGAACATACCCACTTTTGTCATTTCCGAATACCTGGGAATACACATCGCCTTCCCAAGCAACGCTGCGAGGAGGTTGGTCAGCAGAGCTCTCGCTATTTCTCGTCCTTTCATTTATCATTTCCTAACAATAGAATACATAATAAATCCAATTTGGAATTCATTTATTCGCTTTAAGTTTTTTCTAACTATTTCATAATTTAGAAATTAAAAGAAAAAGAAATACTTACAATTAGCCTTGACAGAATCATCATCCAATGGTCTACCATCCTTGCGTTTTTTATTGAAGTTAATAATGAAAATTTTTGACTCGTGTAGGCTCTATCCCATTTACAGCCTAATACAATAAAGTTGATGTGAGATATGCATTAAAAAAGTATTTTAAAATATTATAGTTAGTACTTTTTACAGGTTTACCTGCTCATCTATCAAGGTAGCAATACCTTTAGATCCTCCGGTATGAGACATCTTTTGATTGGTCCTATTATTTCTATTTTCTTGGGTACACCTCTGTCGTTAAAATATTAAAATGATATCTTAAAAATTATAAATAAACTTGAGCACAACTAAAATCAATACACTGAAAATAATCAACTAGGGGTGTTTTAAAGATTTAGTTGTTAATACCTTAGCTTTATCCGAAAACCAATAAGAGACAAGACCACTCCATTGATCCCTCGGTATGCGACTTGGTCTATTTTTCAGCAAAGCGTCTTTAGTCTTATATTTTCGCATGTACTCACCTTTTAACTCGCACTTGTAATCTTTCCATTTCTTTCCTAGTGACTTTAAGACATAAGCTTCTTCCCGTTTAGGGATAGAGAACTTCTTCTACAAAATAAAGCCAACATTTAGAAGAAAATATCATGTATAATAATAATAATAATAATAATAATAATAATAATAATAATAATAATAATAATAATAATAATAATAACATACCCTACAAAACTCCAACCTAATTTCTTCTTTAACTCCTTGTACAAATTTCTCAATCACCTGCATGTAGAGGTGTTGTTCTGGTAGTNCCTTTTTCCTCAATAGCTTGGTTACGATTATTAAACGGCACATCAACTATCTTCCCCGGAGGAAGCTTCCAAATATCTTTTAGTAAAATAGGCCCGCAAACCTTTCTTGGCTCTGAATTACCTAGAATGGAAGACTCGAAGGTCATCAAATGGCAAAAACTTATATGGTTAAGCACCTAAGAGATGCTCGAAAAGCTGTTAAATAACAGTATCATGATAAAACAACAGAAAGCAATGTTCATAATAAGTAGACCAACTAAAAGATGTAAATGATAAAATCAAGCCCATGGAGGAACTCCTAAATCAATGTTATGTGCTGTAACTTCTGCACCATATAACATTCATGTACTAGATGTGCTAATAGCTTAAGCAGATCACTGTTTCATCTCATTGACAGGAACAAGATAATGTAATATATGAAAACAACCAATTCTTATACTTACGCAAAACTGATATGGAATTCCTGATGTTAATCGAATTACAAAAGTTTACAACAGTGCACTTCAATTCTTCATTTACTGATGCATAAAGACCTTCCTATTATTAGAGAAAACTAAAAGCTACAACTCACTTTATTCCAACAATCTTTACATTTTAAGAGCTTATTTCCTACTGAAGTCACCAAACTCATAACAAACAGACTACCCCTGCCTCTCCACAGCCACAACAACTTTTCTTTCCCCTCCCAAATACTCTAAAAATAAAGTAAATTTGCATTGAAGACATAATAAATACAAGCAAACAACAATTTAATTTTTTTGCTAGTTACATTATATAAAAAAGTACAAAATAAAAGTTACAGAAAATTCCAGTTGCTAATTACACAATAAAAACTAGTGTGATTAACCAAAGTTTTCACACAATTAACATTTGAAAGCAATCCCAGAAAAAAGTGTTACCTGATTCATCATCATTATGTTGACCTCAGTGCCACCAGTAGAACTATTCAACTCATTAGATTGCTCACCATGTGCTTGATATTCAGAGAAGTTTCGACTATCCATTAACTGCTCAATATAAGGTTGGGCTGCAGAGTGGTTTTGACCATCCATCAACTGCTCAATATAAGGTCGCACATCTTCATCATCATCTTGTTCAATTATCAGTCGCTTGCGACCTCTAGTTTGCATAGTTCCTTCTCCAAAATAAAGAAATTATCTAGTTGTATTAAGTTATACTAGTACCAGATTAAATCCAACAGATCAGCATGTCATATGCAAAGCAGGAGGAAGCATCATCCTTATCTCAAGATGTGAAAAAAAATTAGCGATTCGTGCATACAAACACAACATTGTAATAAAGATTGTTTTAGAGATAAGAGTTATTGATTAACTACAAAAAAATTATCCCGTGACAATATCACCTTAGCATATCACAATTTAGTGGATACAATAAGCAAAATATAAGGTAACAAAAAAAAAGCACAACGAATTCACTCAAAAATCTAATATTTGAATTTCTGAAGTAAAAAAATAACTAAACCTTAGAAGTTCTTAAATAACACTTGAAAGAAAAATATTCTATAAGTTCCAGCTATCTTATGTAGAATCACATTCATTTTCAATGTCATTTCCTCCCTCAACATTAGCTTCACCATCATTTAGAGAAGCTTGAGAATGCGCGTTTGTATCAATTACAATCCCATCGACACCACTTCTTACCCAATCATTATACTCATCTTCGAGAACACGAGCATTTTCTAAGAGAGCCAAGTCAGTGGCATCACTCTGTATTGATGACTCAAACTGCAAACTATTTTCATCTCCCATATTAAAAATATCTCGAGGTTTAATTAACCTAGGGACAAACCAAAAATGATCTTGAGGATCTTGTACAAATATTACTTGTTGAGCTTGTTCTGCAAAAATAAAGGGCTCATGACGTTCTCGAACGCCAGAGTCTGTTAGGTGTGAGAAATTCACAAGTGTGAAACCCAAGTCATCTTCCTTAACTCCTCTACCTTTAGTTACAACAACCCAATCACACTTAAATAAGACAACCTTAAATTCTTCATAGTAGTTTAACTCCACAATATCATTCAATCTACCATAATATGTGATATTTGCAGACTTTGGAGCATTGTCACTTGTACTTGCATAACTTTCAGTCTTTGAAACGACCATAACACTACTATTTTGCGTCACCTTGAATTCTTCACTTTGTTTCGTTCGGAATCGATACCCGTTATTTACATCGAATGCAGTGAATCTTTTTGCAATGTAACTCAGCCCTTGTGCAAGGACTTTAACATCTTTTAAGATCTTAGATGTGGCTTCCAATTCCTTTATCTAACCAAATAGAAGATACAATAATAAATGTGGATATCTGTACAAGGACAATAATTTAACATAACCAATGACTTAGTCCTACTACTTACTTGCTCCTTGAACCACTCATGAAATATATCGAAATGCGCACGGTCAAGTTGATGTTGTGTCAAACGATGCTTACGATGTGATCTCTCGATTTCAGCAATATGTTCCCTATTCATGTAACTCGCACATATCAATTTTTTAATTAAATAAGTAATATACATATATTGAATAATAAATATAACACTTACTTTTTATAATTCTCAACCACTTCTGACTCGTAATTGAAAAGCACATGCCGATGTGCTTGCAACCATGTTTTCTCATCCAACTCAAATACATCTACTCCACCGTACGATTCCCCAACAATTGGAAAAAGACATTCTTCTTTACTATTCTCATGCTCAATCCCATCACCGCATTTTTTTGAACAATAAGACCTTGAATCTCCCCCCTCCAAATATTGTGAGCAAAATGCCATACACTCATTTGCTATGTATGCTTCTGCTATTGAACCTTCTGGACATGCATGATTACGAATATATGATTTTAATGTACCCAAGAACCTATGGATTAAAATAATGGTATTAGTTTGATATCATAATATTTAACAACTAAAGATATATGATAAAGATTCAGTAATATTCTTGATACCTCTCAATTGGGTACATCCAGCGATAATGTACCGGCCCCGCATGTTTAGCCTCGGTTGCCAAGTGAATAACCAAGTGTATCATAACAGTAAAGAATCCTGGGAGGAAAAGTTTCTCCATAGTAGACAATGTTTCTGGAATCTTTTCTTCAAGTAACTTTAACTCTTCTAGTTTCAGTTCTTTAATACACAGAACACGAAAGAATGTGCATAATTCAATTAAAATGGAACTAACTCTTTTATCTACTGATCTCCGCAAGGCAAGAGGAAGAAGTTCTTGCATTATAAAATGACAATCATGAGTTTTTAGCCCAAATATCTTTCGTTTGCAAAAGCAACGTGAGATATTAGACGCATAGCCATCTGGAAACTTGGCATTTTGTAGAACTTCATAAAATAACTCCTTTTCATTCGGAGACATTGTGAAAAAAGTAGGTGGAAGATATGGTCTCCCACTAGCTCGATATTGAGGCCATAAACTTGGTCTTATTTTCATCTCCTTCAAGTCCAATCGAGCTTCTAAGTTGTCTTTAGACTTTTTACCAAGATCCAATAATGTATAAATTAAGTTATCACACACATTCTTTTCTATGTGCATCACATCAAGATTATGGCGCACCAAGTTCGACTTCCAATAAGGAAGATCGAAAAAAATACTCCTCTTTCTCCATGTATTTTTCGTGACCCCACTTACCTCTTCGCTAGACTGGCCGAGAGTAAATTTTATATCTTTAACTTGATTCAGCACTAGTGACCCAGATACTGGACATGGTGCAGGTCTTGATTCTTTTGTCCCGTCAAACGATTTTGCATCATTCCGATATTTGTGTCCCGACTTCAAGAAGCGTCGATGCGCCATGTAACAAAACTTTCTGCCATATCTGAGCCTTCTAGATTGAGTGTTTATGTCACAAGAAGGGCATGCAAACCGACCATAAGTGCACCATCCAGAGAGAGTACCATATGCTGGAAAATCATTTATAGTCCACATGAGAGCTGCTCGCATTTGAAATATATCCTTAGTAGATGCATCGTATGTTTCGACCCCAATATCCCATAATTCATTCAACTCTTCTATTAAAGGTTGCAAAAAGACTTCAATATTATTGCCAGGTGCTTTTGGTCCAGGAATAACTAAGGACAGTATGAAGAACTCTTGTTTCATGCACATCCATGGTGGAAGATTATATGGCATTAAAATCACTGGCCATGTACTGTGAACAGTTCGCATTGTGCCAAATAACCCATCAGAAGCTAATCCTAGGCGCACATTGCGTGGATCTCCAGCAAATTCGGGATATTTACTATCAAAAATTTTCAAGGCTTCAGAATCTGCAGGATGCCGTAGAACTCCATCTTTGTTGCGCTCTTCATGATGCCATCGCATTGCTTTAGACGTTTCTGAAGACATAAACAATCTCTGTAGCCTTGGTTTTAAAGGAAAATACCTTAGGACCTTGGCTAGAATTTTTCTAGCATCATTTTTCCATCTAGAAGCCCCACAAATTTTGCATTTATTGACATTCTTATTAGCTAACTCTTTCCTAAAAAGCATGCAATCGTTGGGACAAGCATGAATTTTTTCATACTTTAAGCCCAAGCCTTCAACTATCTTTTTGGTCTCATAGAAAGAAGGAGGTAATTTTTCTCCTTCAGACAGTGCATCTTTCAAAAGTCCAAGCAGAGCATTAAAAGATTCATTTGACCACTTGAACATACATTTTGTGCGATACATATGCAGCAAAAAGGATAGTTTGCTAAACTTCTTACATCCAGGATATAATTCTTCATTTGCCTCCTTCATGAGCTGTTCAAACTTATCCACCTCTTGATGGGGGTGATTTCCAGATGGATGAGCAGTACTCTCTTGTAAGTTTTGCTCTATGCCACCTGTTTCACTAACGTCAGAAATCCATGAACTGTGTAATACCTCCAAATGCATCATGTATTATTCCTCTCATATCATCACTCCTTTGAGTTGACTGGTTGCGGTTATTTGCTCGAGCATTGTTTGATCCCTTCAAAGACTCCCCATGACAAAACCAAGTATCATATGATGGTATAATACCATTAATAACAAGATGATCATATGCTGTAGCCCGATTTACTTGATGGATGAGCACACACTCCGTATAAGGACATGCAATTTTTTCTCCTTCTTGTTTTTCAGAAAAGGCATAATTTAAAAAATCCTCTACTCCATCTAAATATTCTTTTCTAACTCTATCACAATACATCCATCTTTTATTTCTAGGATTGTCCATGACGTTCAAGATATTCTTATCTTTTGTATAATTGCTGCAAGAGCTAAAAATTCATTAGTAAAAAGGAGGAATTAACAAAAATATAGTTCAAATATATAAAATAATCATCCGCGAGAAGCCGCGAACAGTGAAAATGATACATAACACTTAGGACTCCTAAAAGAAATAGGCCCAATCCATAACGTAACATATCATACACTAAATCAGTCTAGTATTCAAGTTTTGATCCCACAAGGAAGGCATAACAGGAAATGTCTTCCTGATCATCTCCCTAATAGATAGCATTCAAACTACCAAAATACTGAATATCAATCCATTGCATTAAACCAATTCAGATATAAATCATATAATATACTTTTGGGGTAATTTTTGCAACAACTAAATGTTGAAAACAAAGGTATTATATGGAATATTGATGGACGTGAGTTAAAAACAGAGGTGTAACCTGAAGCTGCATTACATGTGCTAGACAGATCTGGAAATCTTTTTAATGTAGCAGATGTTCGGACTAATGAGAAAAGGCAAGTTGAAGCGGAAAATACAGATTTAAGAGAATGCAAAATGATTGAATCAATTTTATCGTGAGTAAATTATTGTACAACAAAGAACAAAGTTCTGTATATACTCGTTTATCTCATTCTTCTATTCTATCTATTCTCAGTTGTTCGATACTACTATTTTTTTTTTCAAATTTCACTTCGAATAGATACTTTTAGTGTTCAAATATAAGTGAAAGATTATTCAGATCCTTTTAGACCTTCACACGGACAAACTAACCAATTGCAAAATATTTTGCGAACCTTTTAGCCGCTAAAACTCTTCTTTGTAATGAGGTAAAAATCAGTAATAAGCCTAATAATGCACTAAATCACCAACTAACAATAGAGTAATATATATATATATATATACACATATACATACATACATATATATATATATATATATATATATATATATATATATATATATATATATATATACACACACGTCTATATATATTAACAAATATATATATATCTACAATGTAAAAGGATGTACAATTGTGACGACCCAAAGGGTCATCACCTGTTTTTAATTGAATTCTGTGTCTCCGAGGCCTTGAAACCCTCATTTAGAGTCACCTCAATTTGCGTGCGCAGTCCGGGCGTGTAGCCGAAAAGCTCAAATGAGAAACTGTGTGAAAAATGATAAGTTTTGATGTTAAAATGAATAAATTTGACCTTGGTCAACGTTTTGGGTAAACGGACCCGGACCCGTGATTTGACGGTAGGGGTGTTCATCGATCGGTACGGTACGGTATTTAAATAATTCGGTTCGATATTTTCGGTATTCGGTTTCCTAAAATGCTATACCAATACCGTACCTAATTAAATTCGGTATGATTCGACTTTTCGCCTTTCGGTTTCGGTTTATTCGATACGATAATTTCGGTTTGTTCGGCTCTAAAGCAACTTTTTGAACGTAATATTTAGGGGAGAAAAACGCCTTAACTAGCTAGCAAAATTAAAATTATAACTATCCAATAAAATCAATTTTATGAATGCAGCAACACTACACATCATATATGAGACTTCTATAAACAGGAGCATAAGATTAGAATAATGTTTACAAACTTCATCAATATGTAAATATGTCTGCTCTAAAGCTCTAACTTGCATCATCATAAGGAATGCACCAGACACCAGTAAGCTTCTCAAAATGTGACCAAAATAAGTATTTCACAAGTGTTGTTTACAGAAACCATTCTGTGTAACATCCATTAACCACATAGACAAAAATAGGTGGTGCACAGGCTTTAACAAAAGAACATGGAACTAGATTTCTCCTGAAGCTCTCTGGTAACTTCGTGCTGCAAGGATGCCAGGATATTTAAAATTAATCCAATATCTAACAACATAAATTGATGACATTTATCAACCAAATAAAAGCTAGACTTACCATATATGTTGCAACTAACAACTATACATCAACGATGCAAGGCTCTGTTCCATTGGGCAAGCCTACAGAGAATTCAAGGTAATTTGTTATGCAATATGAACAATAAACTAATTGCAATTGCAAATATCAATATAGAGTGCATACAAATAAAATATTCTTACCAAGTTCAAATTGCACGAGATAATCTATATCTTCCTCAACTCTAACAGGAAGTAATTCATTTCGAAGCCAATCTTGACAACACACAAGAGCTTGTACTAATTTGGGAGTCAATGAGCTCCTAAAACAATCAAGAATACGGCCTCCTGTACTAAAAGCACTCTCTGATGCCACACTAGACACAGGAATTGCCAAAACATCACGAGCAATCTCGGCAACAATTGGAAATCTAGGTTTGTTCACTTTCCACCAAAGCAAGATATCAAAACCATCACCTCCATCATCACATTCTTCATCTAGATACTTCTCTAACTCTGTTTTAGCATCTGAATTCCATTTTCAGCTTTGTGCCTCTTGTATTGTTGTGAAAATGTTGCCTTTGAAGTTTTAGATTGAGTTCCATGACTACTTGCACTTGACGTCTCTGATGAGCTACTTGATGTAGAAGATGAAGCATGATCATTTTTTGAGTGTTTCTTTGCATACTCATTAAACAAAGAAGTCATGTAGCTTTCCACTTCTCCTACAATATTTTTTCCCGTTTCTTCCCCGAACATGCTCACAAGTGCATAAGTAACATACTCAAACTTATGGCGCGGATCCAAAATACATGCAATAAAGATCATCTTATTCATCTTTTCTGGAGTACCCCAATACTTGTCAAATTTTTCTTTCATCTTTCCTGCCATTGAACTCAAGTCAACGTTATCTTCTGCTATCAAACTTTTCAAATTATAATGAAGTTCACATATTTCAACAAAATGAACATTTGATGTAACATAAAGTGAACCAGAGATCTTCAAGGTAAGTACAAAAAAAGTTTCAAGAAATCTCACCATGAGCCTCACACTTTCCCAATCAGAACTTACAAGTGAACCTACTGATTTTCCATCTTCACACACGAGTAAGAAGATAATGCAACAATCCATGATCAAGAGCACCATAACTTGCAAATGCATGCTCGAATTCTTTTGCCACATTTAACATCAAGTAGGTGGAGTTCCACCTAGTGGGAACATCCAAACATAGTGATTTCTTACATGCAATCTTTTCAATTTCACAACATTCTTTAAACTTTTTCCACCTCGCAGGAGATTGCCTAATATATCTTACTGCTTGTCTAACGCGTTTCACAGAATCACCCACTTCTTTCAAACCATCCTGAACAACAAGATTGAGGATGTGAGCCATACATCTCATATGGAGGTGTTTACCCTCCATCAAATTAGTTCCCCATTTGGTAAGTTGCTTAGACAACTCTTTCACTGTAACATCATTTGAACTTGCGTTATCAACTGTAACAGTGAAGATCTTATCTAAACCCCAATCAAGCAAACACTTAGCAATAACATTTGCCATATCATCACCTTTATGACTAGTAATTGGACAAAAGTTTATTATTTTTTTGTGCATCTTCCAATCCTTGTCGATAAAGTGAGCCGTAATGCATATATAATTGATCTTTTGTAATGAGGTCCATGTATCTGTAGTAAGACAAATTCTTTGTTTTGTTTCTTTGAAAAGTTTCTTGAGTTTCTGTTTCTCTTCACCATAAAGCTCAAAACAATCCCTAGTCACTGTATGACGGGAAGGAACCCGAAATTGAGGACATAAAGCTCTCACAAAGTTCTTAAAACCTTCTTTTTCAACATGGCTAAAAGGTTGCTCATCAAGAATAATCATTTTAGCTAAAGCCCTTCTGCAAAGTTCTTGATCAAATTTCCAAGAGACGGGCATTCCCACATCCTTTTTACCACCTGAAATTGGTTGAAAGCCTATCAATCTTTGATTTGTTTCAACATTATAGGGAAATTTCACACACCTGCTCATATGACCTTTCAATCCCGCCATTTTTGATATTAAAATCTTCCTTCGTAAAATCACAGTATTTACATTTTACAATTGTTACCCCATTAGGACCATCAACCAGCTTTTGAAAGTGTTCCCACACAACAGATCTTTCTTTCATGCCTTTCCTTTTATTGCTTAAAACTGAATCAACTTCACTTGTAGCTGTGGTTTCATTTGAACCCCCATTTTCACCTATTTTACTTTGAATCTCTGCCATCTGTGAAGATAAAAAGTAAAACATGAAGGAATGATGTACCAAAAAGTAAAACATGAAGCATATGACATATATATAAGAGCAAAAAAACGATAATCTACCACCAAAAGAACATAAAAAATAATGTATCAAAACTCAATTTTACTACAATATTGCAATCAGCTTTGTCTTCTTTCAGTAATTTTGATTGTACCAAAAACCCTAACCCACTTGTGCACATCTTCTTTCAATAATAACTTACCAAACATATAAAGAGCAAGATATGAACACACAGAGAAAAGGAGCAGAAGATTGAGAGAGAGAGAGAGAGAGAGAGAGAGAGATGAAACAGAGAAGAGGAGAAAAATATAGATAGCTAGATAGAGAGAGGGGGGAGATCGAGATCGTACCTACTGCGAACCGCGAGAGAAGGCAAAAGCTAGAAGCCAGGCGCAACTTACCGCGAGAGAGCTGGAGAGATTTGTCTATGGTCTGTCTAAGTTGAAGTAAGGTTTGAAAATGGTGGATTTTAGATTTCTA